AGAGAGAGAGAGAGAGAGAGAGACCAGAAGAAACCAATTTTTTGGTCATGAGAAGATGAGAAACATGTAAACACAGCATGTATGAGTGATTCTTACTTTTTAGGTAGTCTGGGGTGAGGGTCTCTCCCTCCAGCATGTGTGTGGACAGGGCTTTATACACCTCTGAGTGCTCACCCAGTGGAAGGAAATTCAACAGATTCTGATCCACAAGAAAAACACAAAAACACAAAAACAGACATCGTCAGTATCACTCGTACTCACACAGTAGAGCTGTTCACATGAATAGCTGGAGGTTGTTGTAATCACACAGTAGAGCTGTTCACATGAATAGCTGGAGGCTGCAGGGTTGTTGTAACAGATACATGGATGCCGTATCAGCCACTGTATTCATAACTGTATTGTGATACTGCTCATTAGCATACGGCTGTCACTTAGTCAGCGGTCACTGACGCTCAATCCACTCTCATTGAAAATGAATTATGTTCGGTTGCTTTGTAGCTGCAAACTGCTGTCAGTGTGCTTGGGTTAGGAGGTTAGGACCAGTTGTCCACACAAATAGTAGCTTAGCAATATCATCAAATTCATTTAGATTTAATATTTGCTTTAATATTTTTAGAAGCTGATGAATTTAGAGACCTAACTTCTAACATGAAGTGAATTGGAGGACGTTTCTGTCACACTATTGTTCTGAAAAGTTGTGCAACCATTCAAAAGTTTGGATTAGCATGATTTTTTTTTTTTTTTAAAGAAATAAATTTTTTATTGATCAACGATGCATTAAATGAATCAACAGTGACAATAAAGCACTCAAAACGTTGCAAGTTCTTTTGAATTTTCTATTCAGCAAAGAATCCTGAAAAAATGTAGCACCGTTTCTACAAAAATATTAAACTGCTCAACTATTTTCAGCATTGATAATAATAAAAAAATGTTTCTTGAGCACCAAATCAGCATATTAGAACGATTTAGAGTAATGGCTGCTGAAAATTCAGCTTTGCCATCTCAGGAATAAACACATTTGAAAATAAATTAA